TTAGCATTATTTTTTAAAGAGGCATTATTTATGCGCATGGGTTTTATCCTTAGTATGCTTTACGTGTCATTCTCGGTGCTGTTGTCACAGGCTCTATGTTTGCTCCTTTTTGGATTTCAGGTGTGTAAGTCCTGGTTCTGTGCCTTCTCTCTACAAGAGCAGAATACAGCCATTACTCACAAGCACTCTGTTGCATCGTCTCGTAACATAGAAATTAACCTTCAAAGTAGAATTGTAAAAAGTACTCATTCTCATTGTACTCAAGTACTCAATACTCATTGAAGCACTGAGTCCTTCAGTCAGGGGAATGGTTATGTGCCAGGTCCGATGTGTGAGACAGAACCTGAAACGTGTGGCAGATCAGACTGTAAGCCAGAGGGCACTGCAAATTATTAACTGCATTTTAACCAAAGTCATTATCACGTAACTGATAAAATATTTATTTGAGATTTGTATCATACTATATTTCAATGTCAAAACACTTGTGGGAGACAATTAATTGCAAAGGCTAGTAAAATAATAGGTTTTGCATGAAATATTGTTCTTGGGACCAAAATATACAAGATCTGTGAATATGATTTCTGTGAAGTTAGTGAATCTGAAGTTAAATAGATGTTTGTTTTGTACAGGTATAATTTAAGCAAAAATGTCTTCAATTATAATGAACACAAGTTGAGATTTAATGTACACCAGGCCGTTGTGCTTAGATTATTTTGTTGTGAGAATGATTGCTTGCTTCTCTTTAAAAACAAGGAAATCTTTTCCTTCTTATCTCTGCACGGTTTATGCAGATACCCACGTGTGTACATTCTCAGTGAATTCAGTGACCGTCCACATAACGTGTTTTCCCTGAGGAAGGGTATCTTAAGGAATTCTGCAGCTTCTTTTTGCTTTTTGCAGTACTTTTGTTCTGTGCTACCAAGGTGAAAGGAACACTTTCTCAAAGTGGGAATAACGCAGAAATGCGTTAAAATAAATTTCAATCTACGTAGAAGGATTTTCAGTGAAGCCATCAGAAGCTGAACAGCAAGTTAAACAACTTGTGACCTTTAAAGAAAGCTGTGACTTTTTTTAGCTCCTGCTGGATTCCCCTCTTTTGGAACACTCCATGGCTGTCTTACAGCTGGCTGAACGAATTCCCCAGGACATTCCGGTAGCGGCATGGGGAGCAGCCAGCACCACAGAGCAGGTTTCAGCTGGAGCGCAAACTCCAGTTTGCTTGGAATTTCTTGCACAGGAAGTTTACTGAGCTTCACATGGCCAGCAGCCACCGAGACTCGTTTGAGTTGGACAAGGCCCTAAGAAAGCACGCTCTGGCAAATATTTTCAGAAATTTCTCTTTGCAAGTCTTTCTAGTCTTCAGCGTGTCTAATCTGTGACTACACATGCACACACATACGCACGCATATTCCCACCCTCCATTACTAGCTGTTCCATCAAATTGACTTTGAGTAGCCTGGCCCTTACAGAAAAATAAATACTATTTTTGTTCTGATATGGATAGGCTGAAATTGCAGAACTCAGTAACTTTTTCTGTAGTTCTACTGCTCGTGCTTGTTAACAATTGTACCTCTTCTTCGGTTCGTTAACTGAGATCCTAAGTTTTAGCTAATTAACTTTCCATCTGACAATCAATTAAAACATTAATAGAAATGTATGAAATTAGATACACGAACTCTCCATTTAATGGAGAGTATTATTATCTTTTACTGGTGATCCTAATAAATGGTAGGAAATATTATATCTTAACTACCATTAATTTTGGTCAGATGAGGTGGTTTAAGATCAGAGGAATTATTAGCAAGTTCAGATTTTCTTATCATTTAAAGTGTCGTTTAAGTAACAGTTGCCATCAACGCTGGTAAAAATAGGAATAAATGCAGGAATGGATTTTAGTTGAAATTGTACAAATTTAGTGTTATCATTATCATATAAAAATGCATATAAATCCTGGGAAACAGAAACCCTAAAGATTTTTCAAATTATGAATTTGCTTTGTTAAGCAGATATTAGTATTTTTATGAAGGCAACTGAATACCAGTATAAATATAAGGTTTGTTTAAATTGTATAGCCATAATGAGTAAAATACAGACAAATCACAGGAGCCGTAATTTAATCTGCAGTTATGGAGCGTGGGCTGAATAATGCTGTAAATTTTTCTGCGGTGCTGGAATATAAATACCAAAAACTTAAGAGCTCTTCTAACAGTTTGTATCATAGAATCATAAAATCCCCTGAGTTGGAAGGGACTCACAAGGATCATCGAGCCCAACCTCTGGCTCCATACAAGACCACCCAAAATTGAAACCATTTCTCTGAGAGCATTTTCCAAACTCTTCTTGAACTCCAGCAACATGTGGCCATAACCACAGCCCTGGGGAGCCTGTTCCAGTGAAGAACCACTTTTGCAGCCTTCCTTTGGATGTTCTCTCATAGTTCTGTGTCCTCGTAGTACGGTGCCCAAATCTGCACACAGTACTCAAGGTGAGGCCACCACACCAGCACAGAGCAGAGCAGGACAATCCCTTCCCTCAATTGGCTGTAAATTATAAGTTCAAAAATTGGCCGAATGAAGATGAAAGTACCAGCTTGTGTGCAAAATCTATTTACAGTAATGACAATTAGTAGAAACTTTTAAACTCTTCTATTATCTGAATATTACTAACCTGTAGAAATATTTTTGCCATTCAATGATAATGTGGCCTGTGTGGAGAAAACATGTAAGACTACTTGCTTTTTATCTGAATTAACACTGAAGATATTTAAGATTATTTTATTGATGCTAATGGAATCACAGTTCAAACAAGCATTTTATTTCTAATGTAATTACATTATTTTATTTGGTTTCAAATTTTACTAAATTATACAAGGGATCTACTTTCACTTCCATTCTTCCATCAGTTTAATGCATCTCACTTTCAAGTTTTCCTGATCTGTACCCTGGGTTTTTCCCTTTTTACGTTAATCTTCGAACTCCTGGTTATATCTCACGAACGTTACTAGATAATTCATTTCTCTTATTTGTGTTTATATTCCTGAAATATTTATAGACTGCTACCATGCCTCACATTCTCTACCCAGTCATCATTTGGCCGGTCTATGTTACCTCATTTAAATCTTTCCTCATAAATCTCACTCCCTTCCCTAACCACTTTTGTTACTCTTTTCTGAATTCCCTTCATTTTTCCTGGGACTCTCACAGAGGTGGCCAGTGCTGGACAGAGTGCTCCAGATGTGATTGTTTCAAGCCATGTCAGCAGTGGCCATGGCCATTACCTCACTACCTCATGCTGCAATGCTTCTGCAGAGACCATGTAAAATTGTTTTGGCTTTGTGTGTGTGTACATCTCATTGCAAATTTGTGTCCAAAGTATTATTAGCCAACAGCATTAAGAATCTGTGTTATTGTTTCTCAGGTTTCTCTCTTTAAATTGGATTATACATGTTTATTTCCCTTGGATGTATGAGCAAATGAGCCTCCTCTAAATACTGTTCCATTTCCATTGCCTAACACACAGAGCCGAGTTAAAGTTCTGTCTTCTCTCACATTTGCTAACAAGTACAGACCTGATTTATGAGGCCATCAGGAAGATATTGATATTGATATTGAGGTAACTCGACAGGCATTTAATACAATATACTTCAGATTATCACAGCCCTGCCCTCCTACATTTAAAGGCAGTAACATGGCTTGGGAAACTAAGATAGTCAAAAAGTAATATTTATCTGATATTCTTCGATTTTGTTCCAGTTGGATCCAAGAATTGTCTCTCTGTGCAGCTCAGAAATACAAGTGCTGATGTAAGGGAGAGGGAGGAGAGGCTTGGCAAGGACAGGGGTGAGCTAGAGCCCTAGCAGCTTTGGCTTAGGTTCCTTTAAAATAGCAGGGAAGCTGTTAGCATTAACGCTAACTAGTAACAGTGGATATGCAATATCACATTCCAGCACTCTTGATAAATGGCCAATTTAGTCAAATATTGTTTTATATTCAAGTATCTGCATTAAAATCTAGTTTTATCCTCACCCTCGATAATCATATTGTATATTTATTGGATAAAAGCCCTCCAGTACCATACACTGAGATATGTTTCTGTTCTCTGTTATATATGTACATTACTACTTCATGCATATATATTTCATGGGTTTCATGAAAAGTTGTGGGTTTGTTTTTCTTTAGAGCTTTTTAAAAACAATTTGCATATATTTCATAGCTTTGGTAATTTAAAGCTATGTGAATTGATGGATTATCGTGATTTAAAGTAGTGTCCAAATTCTTAATTATTGCAGCTGTAATAATATTGAAATAAAAAGCTTTTGAAATCACCTATATTAATTTTAATGTGTTCCTTAGAAAACTCTGCTATTCAGTTGAACAATAAGCCAGTGAAAGAGCTTAGCATTTGCTTCTAATGGATTCAAGTTTTGCCTTTTTTAGCTCATAAGTTAGCACAGTAATATTCAAAGTATTTAAAGATGTCATGATGACTCTGAGTTGTTGCAGAAAGAAATAAAGATGGAATCCATATGTTTTTCTTTTGATGGATTAAGGGCCATGTTTACAACAACATAAGTTTACACTGTAGCTGGCCTCAAGTATTCTGCAGACCTTCATGGGTCAGCTCCTGCAGAGGCTCATTCTTACTCAAGAGTACAATTACAGTAACTCTTTCCATGGCAAGGGAAACAGCCTGTTCTGAATAGAACATCCAGCGCACTGTATTTTTTTTTTATTTTTCAGATATTTTTTTTTTATACTTGAAAACAGTTATTTTTTCCATAATAGCGGTTTTCAGTATTTACAGATTCAGTGTAGATGTAGGTTAACAGTCTTCACTTACTATATTTTCTTTATTAAAATGTTCACATGATATGTGTTCATTTTATTTTAAAAGGAGGCAGTTTGTTCTTATGTCTCAGATAATGCACAGGCATTTTTTTATGGAATGTGGAGTCTCACATTGTAGCTGTTATCCTTCATTTCTCTATTTCTGTATTCCAGAAATCTCCACTGCAGTGTCACAAGTCTTGCAAAGACCACACAATGAAGTTGCAAACAAATGAATCTCAACAGCAATTCAGAAAATCTACTTAGGAGTCACATCTTCACTGGCTTCATCTTGTTGATCTTGATTTTGTCTGGAATTAGCTACAGATTAATCTGGGTAATATTTTTACAATGTTCATGATATATTGAGATAAATGCGTAGCTCTTGCACATGTTTATAAGGTCAAGTTTTAAAATGTATTTATTTATTTCTGCTGGTGTCACAAGGCCACAATTTGAAGAGTACTTAGTCTTGATGAACAATTCTTGGTATTGGTGTTTACAGACTTCAGTCCATAACAGGAAAGAATATAAGCTATCAATTACTGCCAACTAACAGTCTGTTGTTGGCCAGACTTACCCAGTGAGTACTGCTTTATTCCAATAGCCTTACTGAGTTAAGTGGATGAGACTATGTCTAGCACATAATGCGAGTGTATAGACCACTGTGACAAACAGAGACTGGCCCAGTTTCACAGCCTCTAGAGTAAAAACCTGCCCTGGATGAGGTTGTTTTATGGATAGAAAGCAGCCTAGAGATTTTTTCATTCCACAGGTCCTTAAGGCCTAATATGGCAGAAAAGAGAGAGAGGGGAGAGAATACTAAGAAATAAAGTGAACAGTACATTTCCACTAAAATTCAAGACCCTTCAGGAAGGTTGTGTGGTAGATTTTTTTGTGAGCTTCCATGCAAAATAGCAGTTTTGTGTCCATTTGGTTCAAGAAATTGAAAGTGTTGAGGTGTACAGTAGCTCTCTTAGTCTATATGTGCTATCCTCACTGCAGTGCTTTCTGAGTGTTAAGGCTGTCAGTAAACTTACTTTCATAAGACACGAGCAGATACTATCAGATCCCAAGTAATAGTCTGTAATGATCAGGTGCTCTTTTCTAGTGTTTCATGTAAGTTATGTACATCTTTCTAGCAGTTTTTGTCTCACTTTGACTGATGCAGCACTTGATTTTCTGTAGTTAACATTTTCTTAGTGACCTCTCCTTCTTAGTCCTTTTTGTTTCCAAGACCTTTCATAATTTGGATTCTGTTTTGTGCTGTTACACTGCAGGTATCACCTTCAGTTATTCTTTAGTTTTACAGCTTGATCCTTATTTTTTCATTTAAAAAGGAAGGAACAACATATTATGAGAAATGAATTTCAGCCATGGAACTGTGAATTGTACTAACCAAGATAGTCATAACAAGAAATGTGGAGCGCTAATTACTTATACGCATACTGAACAAAGAATGCAGTAAACACTCCCCCTTAATTATTTCTTTTCTGTTAAAATTATTTTTCTTAGTCTAAATGCCAGACATGTTTTGCTGTACTTGTCACATAAATTATGGTGATACGTTTTCGAATCCATTCATAATGTATTTTCACCCCCTACCTATCCCCATTTGGAAGATAACCTATTTGTACATCTTTTATTTTTTAACCAATATATTTGAATTTTGCATACGATGACTTTGGTCTGAGCATATATCAAATGATAATAATTCACTTAGTAAATTTGTATGGATGATCTCAGACATAGACTTTTTTGTATGCTTTCTTTGCTATTGTTTATTATTTTCTATAGAAATGTCTCATAATGGCTTTGACTACTCAGATGAATCTAGGGACACTATTGCTCTATTTGTAAAACTATGTACGTTTTAAAAAAAAAAAAAAAAAAAGGTATTTTGTTACTTAGAAATAAATGTATCATGGAATTATAAGTATCTGTTTGGAGAATTAGAAGTTGCCTGAATGTACTGTAATGCTACATCATGGCCTGAAGCAGGGACGGAGCACCTGATAGAAAGGCAGGGCCAACCCAGGGGAGCTCAGCTGCATGCAATGTACCTGAGAGACTGGAAGGGGTGGAGCCAGGATCCATCCCTTCCCAGATCTCATGTAAGGGTGGGCAGTGGAGTTGAGGGCATCTTATTGGAGATCTCTGTGTAGCTGAGGCCTTCAGTAGGTAAGTGGATTTGTTTTCCTTTGTTTTTGTGTTTAAGTCTGTTGCATATCCTCACTTGCTGAAGCTCAGGGCTTTGCTGCTCCACTATCACCGCTGTTACAGCGTTATGCTGGAGATGGTCAAATATGTGATCAAGTTGTGGTATACAAACACAACTTCTCTAAAGCAGCTACGTTATGCAGTATTCTGGGTTGTTACCTACAAAATGTGTGGTCACTCATTTGTCAGTCATTGCTTGGAGAAAATAGTGGGAATGTTATTAACCGCCTTCAGCATTTTATTGTCTGCGTGGTGGGCTTATTTCAGTGCAGGAAAGCTGTCAGTGACCGCATAACATGCTGTTTGATGTAACAGTGGAAAAGGTTAGGTGGTTCCCACATTAGAGCAGTCATTTCTGTTAGCGCACCAGTACTCAGTTTTATGGTGTATTGAAAGAAGCCACTTGGGAGGCAGACTTTGTCTTTAGAGAAATGACTGATACTAACAGGTTGGAATATGGAAAGCAAAAAGTTTAGTTATATTATTTAAAAGTAGAAATGTGCATGAAATTTAAGTCTAACACTCAGCTGCCAAACTTTGCCAAAGTAAGTTAACTACTGAGGAGGCCATAGATACTGAAATATTAAGGAAAATGGATTAAAATCGATTCCTTGGTAGCTGATCTCTAATATTTAAAAATAACCTCTTCAGTGTTCAGTGTGCCTCATTTCTTTGTAAGTGACGTTTATCAGAGCAGCAGTGGTAGATAGGTCAATACTAAGACCAGAATATTGTTTCCTGAGAATTACGCAAACAATATCCTCAACTTTTTCAAGATCTTTTGCAAGAATTTTGGGAGAAAGGAAATACAGTCAGTTTTATAGTCTGTATAGCATGCTGAGAGCTTAGCAAAAATAAACTGCAGTTTTTGCAGATCTGGCAAACAAGTACTCTAAATAGCATCTCAGCAAACTGTGGACAGACCCATAGATGAATATGCTGAAGCAGAAAATGAGTTTGTCAGCCTAAGGGTTCAACCCGGTGTTTGAATGTTTGACAGCCATAAGGTATGGTAAATGAGTACCTGAATGGCTTTTTTCTTTCTTGTTTTTGTGGACCATGGAATCTGTTTTGAACTGTAAAATTGAGATAAAAATTGTGGGTTGGTTGTGGAATGCAATCTGAAGAGAGATTTTTCACATAGGATTTTTGGCAAATTTTCTTAGAAAGTTTTGATTTTACGTCTTTTTAAATCTGTTGTTTGATGAAATTTGTAATTTCTAATTTCTAAGAGTGCAGATAGAGAAGAGACTGGTGTCTGTCAATTTGTATGCTGCTGTATCAATTTAATACTTTGTCTCCAAATGGTTTCTGTTATTGCCCCCATCATACCTAATTTCTGAACATGGTTGAGTACCTACTGCAAATAGCCTCTTTTAGCTTCTGCTCAAATGGCTGGGAAAGCTAGAAAGATAGAAGAAAGTAGATCAGTACTAGGATATGAATGATCTCTTTGCTTCTGTGTAACTGCTATAAGTTACACAGAAATAGATTGTATTAGACTTAGTAAAAGTGAGAATAACTGTAGAAAAATCAGAAGATTAAACCTCTTTCCTTACTATGAAATTATGTACACGTTCAGAGACAAACTATTTTCCAACTCTTTTGCATGCCTACTAGAAATTGTGTGGGTAAAAGTGCAAAGGCGAGATTCCATACAGAGATGAGTTTGTTCAGAGCTGTAAGGAATTCCTAAACTCTCTTCCAAAGATAGCCATCTTTGAGCACTTGTTCTGCCTGGGGAATGGCTGGATACATGCATACGCACCTGATTGCCAGGCCCCAGCAGCCATGCTAGTTTTAGGTACCTCCACTGAATTTGTGCAAGTAAAAATCCTTAAAAATCCAACTAAAACTATGAGGTATTTTTGTTTTTATTTGGTTTGTTTTTTCTCTAAATATTCCAGATCTGCTTTTGTTTCTTTTCTGGAAAGAATATTTTACATTTTACATATATATATATATATATTTATATATATACACACACACACATATATGCTTTATAAATGCAATATTAAAAAATTGAAGTAAATAACAAGTGTCTCTAGCAGTGTGATCTGAAATATGGTCACCTTTGGAGCTAAAGTTCTTTGCTTCTTCTTTTATAGTACCAAAGAGACAGCGCAAGCAAATAAGAGACAGCAAATTCCCACTCTGTGTATCTCTCTTTTGGTAAAAGTAGGCTACAAGTGACTTGAGAAAAGTTGTGTAATATATCCATTACTGAAGATATGATTTGTTCCTTGTAAAACATATGGTAACCTCCCATCTAGGAAAATAGCTGTGCATATCATCACCTAATCTGGTAATACAGCAATAATTTAGATTAGAAAGATCTTATCTTTAAAAAAAATTGTAGTTTTGCATGTCCTTGAACAGCACAACTTCAGAGTAAGGGTTTATATCTCTCATGGTAAACTTGAGCTGTGCTGCAGGTGTTTTAGTTTATCACTGAAAGGAAATGACTTTTTTTACACCTAATTTAATCTGAAGCTATTCACAGTTTAAAATGTTCGGTAACAGTGACCTCTGTAATGACTAACACATTGCAGGTGGTCTGATAGCAGGCTGGTGGTTAATGTTTGCTATTGAGAGAGACAGAATTAAATGTCCACCCGAGTTGTTTTCTTCCATTTATAGTATGAAAACAACAGCTGGCAAAAAAGCAAACCACAATTAAAGACCTTCTGAAAAGTTGCGATCTGTTTCGTTCCTGCAATAGGAGAGCTTTCCTGTGGCATCTATTAAAAAAGTGTCATTAAATTTGAAAGTAGAAATCCTGGTAAATATTTGTAACTTAAATCTCTGTATTGGACTTCTAATACTTTGGTTCCAGCCTGGCAATCCTTGCTCAGTCCTTCTGGCAAAACCTCTTCTTGTTCCGCAGTTGTGTGGTTAGGATCAGTGAATGTTTTGCATACACTTGGACTTGAAGCACTGTAACAGATTTAAGAAAGCTTCGCCAAGGCTCTTAGAAGCTCTCATTAGGCAGTTCAGTGCTCCTATAACAGCATATAATGCAAAACTAGTGAGCCTGAAGTTTTCACTTTAATTCATTTCCATTTTGACAAGAACTGAGCATCTTTGCATGTGGCTGCCCACACAGACCTGGGCAGT